TCTGCCTCCAGAGCAAACGCCTGTTTCTCCCTCTCTGATAGCACCTTCCACCCTTCTGCGATCTCCTTGAATGTTGGCCTGGGCGTTTCCTCCAAACGGCGCTTGGTATACAGGTTATAACTGTTGGCTCTGAAACATAAAAGTACTTTTATTTTTGATAGGTATAATTTAAATTATAAACATTTACTAATGATCTGAAACACACAAGTACTTTTATTTTTGATATGTATAATTTAAATTACAAGCATTTGTTAACAGTCTGAAACATACAAGTACTTTTATTTTTTAAATAATTAAATCATAACTGCTCATGCTTTAACGTTCATGTACTTTAAAATTGCTACAATAAAGCAGTTAATAAAACTTAAAGATTAATTCATTTCATATACATAAATATATTGTAAAATCTAGGGATGGCAATCGAATACAGGATTGCCAATTGGTTATCCGCATGACCTTCCGACCGATTAATTGGTTAATCAAATCAAAACTTTTGTGCATTTTTCATCATTGTAAGCTCTCCTAAAATAAACAAGGCTAAGAAGATGTTACAAGTAGAAATAATATGTTCATATTTATCAGAACACTGTTTATATTATACAAGAACCCATAAGACATGCAAGTCTCAGATACATTTTTTTTAAAAATCAGAAGAAATGTCCAACTCATTCTGCGTTTTCACAATATTCAATATGAAGTCTAAACTCTGGCTTAATTTACAATGTTTTTTTTTTTATAAAATGAAAGAAAAAGTGAGCAAGCTCACATACCCCATGCTCCCCCAAAACTTGAAGTGCTGAAATCCCTGGAAAAAATAAAGGAATGGGTATTTCCTGGTAATATGCACATTTACACCTTGTGTCCTAAGTATCTGCAGAGTTTGACAAAATTGTGTGCAGCAGTTTATGAGGAGTTGTGCTGACAACTGTTCATCTCTATATTCAAGATATAGCCAAAAATCTAAGTCGAAAAGTGTAGAAATTACCAGAAAAAATAAAGGACTTTGGAATTTCTTGGTAATATGCACATCTAAACATTGTGTCCTAAATATCTGCAAAGTTTCACGAAATTCTGTGCAGCATTTTATGAGGAGTTGCACTGACAAAAAAACAACCGACACTATGACTGACTGACGGACGGACTGACTGATGGACGGGTCCAAAACATTATACCTCACGCAATTTGTTGCGTGGGGTATAATGATTGGATGGTGAATTGTTAATCTCTAATGAACAGCGGGGGGAAGATACACATTATAATCAGTTCACGCTGCTAATCAATTACTTAATTGAAATAATTAAAGAAATGCAGGACAGACTTGGTAATGGCATGGTGTTTAAACAACAAATACATGTAATATCCCAAAAATTGACCAATTAGGCCAAAAAAAATTAATCAATAGTTTCTCAGGCCAAAAAAATCAGAATTCAATGCGGGAGGCAGGCTCTTTTTTTTTTTTTTTTTGGAAGCAGGTTTAACACCTTTTCTAAGCCATTTGCTCAATAAAATGATAATATCTACCAATTCTTAATTTTTGTTCTCTGAAATTGGTTGTAATATGTATTCAACTTTAAATAATGTTACTCCAAACATTTATTTTAAAGTTAATTAATAAAATACTGAAAATTTAGAAATAATGTATTGTTTTTCTAATAAAACATTTCTCTTAGCATTTATGAAAAGGGGAATAACTCGATTTTCTTTTTCAACTTGGATATGTCAACATGTCAATAAAATTGATAAATGCGACCGTTTTTGAACTGATGCAGCGGTGCCTGAGAAACTAACCAATTACAGATTTTCTAACCGATTAAGAATGAGCCAACCGAGTAACCGGTTAACCGATTAAATATTGCCATCCCTAGTAAAATCACTTGTTTTCATCAGTAATTGTGAGTTAGGAAAAAATCTTGGTTTTGATGTTTGATTGATTATTCTGTAGTTCATCAAATTATTTTCAAATTGACAGAACAAGCTAAAAACATAAAGACCATTCCAACATGAATAATAACTATGTTCTTCACAGAATATGCCTACAAGGCAAATTAACTTTATCACAAAACTAAATTAAGACATCTTAACCCTTTCGACGCCAAAGCAACAAAATCTCGTTTACTGTGTCAACGCCAAACCGACAAAAATGTCGCTTTGTAATGCATGTTTAACTTTTCATTTATTTATCATTTATGTCAGTTTAAATTAAATACAGTAATATCTAAATTTTGACACAAGTATAGGCCTTTATTTTTATACTGGAAGGAAAAAGAAACGCATAAGAACATAATGTGCGGAAATTTTTTGACTATGAGGCCGAAAATTATGAAAATTGGTCAGATGTGTATTTTGGTTACTTTGCACTAAAATCGATGGTCAAAACTATTCAACCATGAAATGTATGGTGTCACGTAGGGAAATGGTAAAAAGACAAAAACATTTGCATGTTGATGATGATAATTTTGTGAACACATTTTGTGGTGCTAATCGATGCATTGGAGTTATAGACATCGTTTTCCGCATTTGCAATCAGTATAAATTTCGTGCAATCCTGGTATGGCTGACGGAAGTTACACTGGTTCCAGTAATTGAATTGCGTAAGTGAATAAAAAGGCAACAAGATGTTGCTGTGCAGTTTGTTTTAAACTTTTCAACAAAAAAGGGTTTTTCAGTTGTCAGAGAGTAAATTAAAAGGTTTCCAACCAACCATGGCGGTGACGTTGACGCGGAAACAACGTCACATCAAGACAGGGCTTTTCATCATGTCACCTCGGTTGTTGTCAAGGTATTATCACTGAAATCGATATTTATACAGCAAACTATCATACCAATATTTTCACCCTAAAATTGACAGAAATTCTCTGCTCTAATTTGGTCCGCGAGCTTGGCAACTTTTAGGTCAATTTTACTCTCACGCGCACGTACGCGTCGTATGCGTAATGTTTGTAGCATGTTCACACTGTGAAAATGTAGCCAGTGTTAAACAAGACTTTCTTACAAACATTCACGTGTACCAAACCAGCTGAATTCTGTAAATTCTATCGTAAAATGAAAATTCGTGGCACTCATTTGGCGGGGGGATTTGTTGGCTTTGGAATAATACAGCTTCTATCAACCATTAAGACTATTGTCGGAAGAGTTGAATAATAATCAAATGAGAAAGATAAATGCTCTGGTGAACTCAATGCACAGGAAAATCAAGGCTGTTACCAATGTGCAAGGGAGATGATGAGAATTTTTATTTTAATTTTGGGGGGTATCGACATATCAATTTCAATAACTCAGGAATTATCAGTCAAAGTCACACAAGATTTTGGTAACTTGTAGATTAAAGATGAATTAAAATGTTTGATAACAATACTGGAAAACATTTTCGAAATAATAGTTTTATTTTAATTTAAAAGTAAAATATGCGTTTCTTTTTCCTTTCAGTATAAATTGGTACTGGTCTAAATATGACGTCATATTTCTTTACATTGACGTTAAATTATGACGTAGGTTTAGGAGTACGCTAGCGGTAATCGGCAATCCTCATAAATGTCTTTTATTCCTCAGTTCAGCAGCATTAATATCATTACTGCGTTTGATACAGTCTGATTTACTTGAAGGGAAAAAAACCCAATAAATATAGATATAATTAATGATTTTTTAATTTTGAAATATGGAATAAACTTTCTCAAAACAGTACTTCATTATGTAAATGAGCCTGGTGTTTTATGTTTCTCCGCATGGTAGTAGAAAAGATTTTATTTATGATTTACCCTGAAGAACAATTTTATACACCATGGGTCCTTCTTTTACATGAAAGTAATATTTATTCTATTATATCGGGATCGATTTTTTTTTTGCGAGGGGATGGCCCGCGGTGCCCTAATTTTCGGACTGGACTTCTCTCTTTTTCATGGTATTTGGAGAGAGGCATTGTGTCAACAATATAAAGTTGTATTTAAAGATGTTGGTAATGTTTAGAAACGTACTGAATTTGAGACCCGTAACATTATCATTGAGTCATGCCAACTTTGTTTTGAAGCGTCTTAATTATTAAAATTCTCATCAAATACTAGAAAAATGATATAAATTATATATTTAAAAGAAATTAAGTTATGCATATTTGCATTAAAAAAGTACCAGGTTATATAAGGGTCCGTTTTCTCGTATACGGCAGTTATAAATTAATAACATTTAGTATAATTATTATTTTAAAAAAGAGTAGGAGTCTCTTTGTTCTATCTAAAGTCTTACCTTGCAATTGCTAGCTATAGGATTAATGTTTGCTTACTTTACTGTATTGTCCTGTGGTGACCCTTGTTTGTATTAATATTATGGAATAAATATGATTCTTTTATAAGGATTTCCTTACATCCTTTTACCTTGGTTAAACAGGTGCTTTTTCATTATCAATCTGACGCTTTTTTTTCCTGACGCAACTATTTTACGTCTTGGTTGACGTCATAGTACGGCATCCTTGACGTTATAGTCGTAACGTTATTTGGCATCGAAAGGGTTAAAGGTGTATATATACAGATTTGAAGTTAATATTTTCTGTAAAATATCACATCTTATGTATTGCAATATCATTTCACATGAAAATATATTCAAAATCTTATTTTATCCAAAATACATATATTCAAACTTTAAATTTTTGGATGGGTTTGATTGAAACATCCTTGCACTTTCAAAAATTTTAATTTTATTCTTTAATACTTCAGAAAAGTGGCAATCTGGTTGTGTATTTATGAAAAATAGTAAAACATTAATCAAGAAAAATAATTATCTTCAGAATAAAAATGATTGAAAGCAAAACCCCTTCACAAGCATCGTCATTCCGTGCTTAGTGTTGAGTACTTAGTTTAGCAAATTGAACACATCTGTGAAACGTACACAATTTTTGTAAACGGTAAACTGTTACTGTTAAGGTTTACGATTCACCGAGTGTGTTCAATTGTTAAAGTTTGCTAACCACAACTGCACGGACTGACAATATACTGTATGTTTCACTTCTGAGCATTTTTACTCTGAATTTTCTGGATTATAGTTTTAATATTTTTCGTTAATTCTAAACAAGATTGCCAGTTTTCTTGAGCCTTAATAATAAAATTTAAAATTTGTGAAAGTGCAAGGATGTGTCAATCAAACCTGTCCAAAAATTTGAAGTTTCAATTAACTTTTAGATGAAATAAGTTTTTGCATATATTTTCATGTGAAATGCTATTGTCACAATCAATGTTGATTTTGACATAAGTATATTTATTTCTATTTTATTAGTATTGTCCTGTGGTGACCCTTGTTTGTATTATAGTGTTTATCCTGCAAGGAGCCCCATTATAAATGACGCTCAGGTGATTTATTATTTGGCCAGTCTCTATATAAGGTGATGTCTGGTTCAGACTTGTCGAAATCCGTCGGTCCTGTCGGCAAGGCCGGTAAAAATTTGTCTGGACCGATAACATTTAAGAAAACGTCAATCCAGATGACCGTTGAAAAAAATGAGCGTAATGCAAATTTAATAAAGGTCGGGATCGGGATGCGTAGTTCAAGGTCACAAACACAGAAAAAAATGGCCGCGTACGCAGCATGTTGACGCTAGCTAAGTAAATTTGTTATAGCAAAGTCATAAAACTTGTCATTTATGTCTATGTTAGAGACTCTCTATCCCAAGAAAGGAAACTTGTTAGATTGAAGGCTATTGAAAAAATAAAGGACATTTTGGTGCTTTTATTCATATGATTTTACCAGCATCAAAATGACGTACAAGTATCTGGTCTGACAAAAGTTTGACTGGTCCGACAAAACAGTCGACTGTGTCAGACCAAATGTCTGACAGCGTTTTAAAAATTTCGACAAGTCTGCTGGTTTGTCTTGGGTGGCGCATGTTTTCCTTGACCAGTGAAAGTAGTTTCACGTCCATGGAGGGTTAGATAGTTTTATTCGTGGTAACTGAATCTCTTATCAGGGTAAGTGCAATTTATTTTACATTTATTATATTGAAAAGTAATGCAGTGTTTATATCAATTGAGCATATTCTATTTTTATCCACGAGAGGTGTTCTGAATTGTATACGGGAAATGTTACCACGTGCACGTGCCGTGAGTTTAAGCATAAAGTAATGATACAAGTTTATTACTCAGAGTGTAAAGTTATATTGTACATTATTTTGCTACAGTACGAAACAGTGTGATATATATTAGTTAAAACTGTATGTTTGAAAAACTATATGTGTAAACATTTATGATGTGTTACACGAAGGTTTGGTGCTGTCGGCGGTGGCAACCTGGTCGACTACACGAGGACGTAGTACGCTAGGCCGAGGCCGTGTGTGGGGATGTCCTGGTTTTGTCAGCATTGTGGATGCTTAAGACGCTTTGGATTGGCACGGGACGTCGACTGGATTGGATTGGATGAGAGGGGATGTTGTGGCATGTAGTGCAAGGGCGTGGTACCCGTAGGTCATGGACCGTTAAACACAGTAAATGGACATGGACGGCTATAGGAGCAAGGTCCCAGACTAACGGGAATAGACATTTTGAAATTATGCTTTTATTTTCAACTTGTATATTTGTACATATTTCTTTTTATATAAAATTGTAAATAGAAAAAAATCTTGTAATCACTGATCAAGCTTAGGGTGTCCTGACAGCTATTGCGATATATAAGTTGTGATCTTGTACAGAAAATTTGAGAAAATATTAACTTCAAATCTGTGTCTGCACCTTTAATCACATTATACACATATAGATAAATGCTTATATGAAATAAATCCTTACTCACCGATGAACAGAAGGGGCATTTGGAAACTGAAAAAAAGCAAAGTATGGAATATTTAGAAACAATATGTTATATTAATTGTTTTCATTTAGAATTTATTTATTACTTTAACATAAAAGTAAATAAAACAAGAGGCCCATGGGCCACATCGCTCACCTTAGTAACTTGGGTGATGCAGATCTTTTTAAAAGATTTGTTCTATATATATTTTTATGTAAAACTTGGATTCCCCATTGTGGCTCCGCCCTATGCCCGAGGGTCATGATTTTAACAATTTAGAATCTACACTTAACAAGGATGCTCCCACATAAGTTTCAGCTTTTCTTGCCCAATGGTTCTTGAGAAGATTTTTAAAGATTTTTCCCATATATTTCTTTGTAAAACTTGGATTCCTTACAGTGGCCCCGCCCTACCTCCGGGGGTCATGATTTTTTTTAACAATTTAATATCTACACTACCCAAGGATGCTTCCACATAAGTTTCAGCTTTCCTGGCCCAGTGGTTCTTGAGAAGAAGATTTTTAAAGATTTGTTCTATATATTTCTATGTAAAACTTGGATTCCCTATTGTGGCCCCGCCCTACCCTCGGGGGTCATAATTTTTACAGTTTAATATCTACAGTACCCCAGGATGCTTCCACATAAATTTCAGCTTTCCTGGCCAAGTGGTTCTTGAGAAGAAGATTTTTAAAGATTTGTTCTATATATTTCTATGTAAACTTTGGATTCCCTATTGTGGCCCTGCCCTACCCCCCGGGGTCATGATTTTTACAATTTAATATTTACACTACCAAAGGATGCTCCAACATATGTTTCAGCTCTCCTGGCTGAGTGGTTCTTGAGAAGAAGATTTTTAAAGATTTCTTCTATATATTTCTATGTAAAACTTGGATTCCCTATTGTGGCCCCGCCCTACCCCCGGGGGTCATGATTTTTACAATTTAATATCTACACTACCCAAGGATGCTTCCACATAAGTTTCAGCTTTTCTGGTCCAGTGGTTCTTGAAAAGAAGATTTTTAAAAATTTTTCTAAATATTTCTATGTAAAACTTGGATTCCCTATTGTGGCCCCGCCCTACCCCCGGGGGTCATGATTTTAACAATTTAACATCTACACTACCCCAGAATGCTTCCACATAAATTTCAGCTTTTCTGGCCCAGTGGTTCTTGAGAAGAAGATTTTTTAATGACCCCACCCTATTTTCGTATTTTCTTGATTATCTCCCCTTGGAAGGGGTTTTGGCCCTTGATTTTAACAATTTAAATTCCCATTCACCCAAGGATGCTTTGTACCAAGTTTGGTTAAAATTGGCCCAGTGGTTCTTGAGAAGAAGTTGAAAATGTGAAAAGTTTACAGACGGACGGACGGACGGACAGCTAGACGGACGGACGGACGGACGGACGACGGACACCGGGTGATCAGAAAAGCTCACTTGAGCTTTCAGCTCAGGTGAGCTAAAAAAGAAAAGAAAAATAGAGCATTGAACTTACATTGGGATCTTTGTTTCCTATCAGTATCTGTAACAAAACAGAGGATAGGAATGAGTTTTTTTGGGGGGGATTTATCTAGGATTTGGGGGAAACTACCCTTTCTTTGAAAATTGGGAAAATCAGCTGGGGTCTGGGGCAAATCCAAATCCCCATTGGGTGCATGGCAAGCACAAATGGGAAATGTAACTGAATTTCATCATTCTTATGACCACTTAGATCGCATATAATACCAAAGTAAAACCATATTTCACATCTTCTGAACATTTCACAATAAATTTCCTCTATTTATGAAGGAAAAAAAAATATTCAAGCTTTTTATCATTGTCAGGCAATTTTTTTTACTCATCAAGAGAAAAAAAGGTAGAACTTGTGGATAAGGGATGGCTACCCTCAAGAATAACTAACATGTATGGACAAACACCCATATTGATATTATATACCACCCCCTACTTTTCAACCTGGGGAAATAACTCCCTTAGGCCAAATATGGAGGAAAAACCCTTAGCCACATAAAAAACAAGAGGCACGCGGGCCTTACCGGTCACCTGAGTATCATGTAACAACTTTCCAACAATTGAACTTGGTTCGTGTGTTAAACCAGAGGCCATGAAATTCACAATTTTGAAAGAGGCACCATTGCTTATCATAACTATGCACTTTGCTTGCTTACTTTGATTACTTAAAACCCAGAGGTAGATCAGAGTAACAGAGAAAATGCACCTCCACTTTATAACCAGTTGTGCACCCCACCCCAAAGGAACCACTGACCCTGAGGCCATATATTTCAAAATTCTGGAAATTTTATCATAAGTTTTATTTCATCATAAATGGTTGATTAATACCAAAAAACAGATTTCAAAGCATTAATTTATTTTCAGACTTTGTAACCAACCCCCCAACCCCACCCACCCCCCAATACCCCTGACCCAGGGGGCATGAAATTAACCATTTTGCTAGATGCACATTTCTTCATCATAAATATATACAGTGTGGTGCCATAAGTGTTTCACGGTTACACATTACTGAAGAAAAATTAAAACTATCTTTCAACTTTAATCTCTGTTTTCTATAATATTATACATCGTTCTATAATCAATTTTGGATATAAGACAAGAGGCCCACGGGCCTTATAGGTCACCTGAGTATCATGTAACAACTTTCCAGCGATTGTATTTGGTTCGTGTTTTAAGCCAAAAGCCATGAAATTCACAAATTTTGGAAAAGGCACCATTGCTTATCAAAGGGCAGATTTCAAAGCATTAATTTATTTTATTAGTCAAAGTACCCCCCTGGTACCCCTGACCCAGCAGCCCTGAAATAATCTACTTTGAAAGAGCCCCTTCATTATAAGGCCAGCATTTTTTTATGTTTTGGTTTAGTTATGAACATGAGAATAAAAAAGTGCCGAAGGAAAAGGAAATAAAAATTTTTTTTGATAAATCATTAACATTTGTACATTCTTTTTTAATGCTATCCTAATAGGCTCCTTACCACTGGACACATAATGCTTACAAATAGGAAAGTAGAAGATTTAATTGCTTATTTCATCATCTGTCAGTTTGGGCCAGTTATATAAATTTTGTGATGTTGATCCAAATATATTTTAAAAAATCAATTCTTTAAAAGTCTTTCAATATATCTTCATTTTTTTTAATATGTATTAGGTGAATGTGTAGACATTGTTCTAAAATTTACTTGATGCCTAAAATTATAATTCCTATCATAAAACAGACAGGGAGTATTGGGGAGTAGGGTCAACATTTTTTCAATTAAGTGTAAAATAATTTTTCTGGCTGATACAAATGATACTACATGCCTGTATATATTTGTATATTCTTGCCTTTTAATAATTGAATTTTTTTTATTTCTTCAGGTTATTGTTTATTTCTTCCTCAAATGGACTTCACTTCTCCCATAGTTTTATTCATTACATCTGATGCATAAGCAACCCTTTTCTGAAGAATGGTGCTTAGACTGTAAGCTATAACAGAGACCTAAACAATGTCCCTGGCAATATGCAATAGCTACCACGGGCAGTTTAAAACCTGGGGAGGAAAATAATTTACAGTTACTTTTGAAACGAATACATAATTATCTCACCAGCATGTCATTGTGCAACAAAGTCGTCAGCATTTTATTTGTCCTTTGAACGGGTGAAACGTTTTGAATGGCACTCTTATCGATGAATTTTACACTAAACCAATCTATCTTCTCAGATCTAGCTTTATTTACCCACCGTTTCATCGTAAAAACGGAAGTGCGAGTTCGTAAATTTGAAATCTCGATCCCGACTCAAATTTGACATCGGAAAGAAAAAAATTGTTTTATTTTTTCTGAAAATTCAAAACCTTGAGCGGAGGGTTTGTAAAACTGAGTCCCACCCTATAACAAGGACCCCTGACCCTGGGGCCATAAAACTCACAATTTTGGTAGAGGCACTCTTGCTTATCATAACTATGTACTTAATTAATTTATTTAATACCCAGGAGCAGAGAAGAAGATTTTCAAAGAATTCATGTATTTTCACTATATAATCAATAGAGCCCCGCCCTAACACCAGAACCCCTGACCCTGGGGCCATAAAATTCACAATTTTGGTAGAGGCACTCTTGCTCATCATAACTATGTACTTAGTTGGTTTATTTAATACCCAGGAGCAGAGAAGAAGATTTTCAAAGAAATAATGCATTTTCACTAACTTCTTATTTAGCCCCGCCCTAGCACTAGAACCCCTGACCCCAGGGCCATGAATTTCATAATTTTGGTAGAGGACTCATTGCTGATTACAATCATGCGAACAGTTTGACTGCTTGATGTCCAGGAGTAAAGAAGAAGATTTTTAAAGATTGCATTAATTTTAGTGGTTTTGGCCCCACCCCTCAGGCCCCAGGGGGGCAGGGATCATGAAATTCACAATTTTTGTTCCCCTTCACCCATAGATGCTTTGTGCCAAATTTGGTTGAAATTGGTTCAGTGGTTGCAGAGAAAAAGCTGAAAATGTTCAAATGTTAACGCACGACGAACGACGCACGACGAACGACGACGGACGAAAACAGATAGCAATAGGTCACCTGAGTAAACTCAGGTGACCTAAAAATAGAAGTTATGTACGTCATTCGGGATTCCCCTGGTGCACGTGGGGCTATTTTTAGATATCCTAGCAGGCATAAATAATCATGGCTGCAAATCGTCGTGAAATGTCTTCAGTTCTAAAAGAACAGATCATGCGTCTTAATGACGAAGGTAGAAACAAATCTGAAATAGCCAAAATTACAGGATATGACCGCTCCACAATCTCCAAGTTTTTGAAGAGATTTTCTATGCGGCAAAGTGTCACGAATAACCCTTGAAGCGGACGACCAAAATGTATGACTGATCAGTCAGATTGCGTCTTGAACAGGTTCGTAATGAAAGATATAGGAAAAGTTTGAGTGATTTAACATCAGAATTTAATAGATCTATACCAAATCCACTGTCAAAACGATCAGATCAGCGTAGATTGCAGTTTTTGAATTATAATCGTCGGAAAATTGCCAAGACTCTTACCATCTCGAATGTGAACAGACAAAAGTGTGTTGAATGGTGTCGAGATCACAAGCAGTGGTCTGTGGATCAAAACTGGAAAAAAGTCATATTTTCTGATGAAACTCAAGTCATGTTGGGAACGGACAGAAAAGTTTATGTCTGGAGAAAGGCCAATGAAAAATGGAGACCGGAGTGCCTCGGAATACGTTCGGTCCTTAATGGTGGAGTCCGCCTATCTGTTTCGTTTTGGGGCTGTATCTGCTATTCAGGAGTGGGCTTACTTACACCAATAGATGGAAATTTAAACACAGATAAGTACATCACCCTTCTACATAATAATTTGTGGCGAGTTGTTGTCAAACATTTTAGTAACAACCCCTGGATATTTCAAGAGGATAACTGTCCTGCCCACATGTCAGCTAGGGCTATAGAATGGAAACAACAAAATAATATCCCTTGTTTAGAGTGGCCATCTCAATCACCAGACCTAAATCTCATAGAAAATGTATGGAGATCAATTAAAATTAAACTTTCAAGGGGGCAAGATAAGATCAAATCAAGACAAGAACTTGTTGACTGTGTGCTGCAGATCTGGACGTCCCTCACCCCAGTGTATATACAGGGTTCATACGAAACCTTACCAAACAGACTAAATGCTGTAATTAAAGCTAAAGGTCATGCCACCAAATACTAAAAACATCAGAAGTCTATAATCAACAATAGTAAGGTAAGTGGATTTTTTGTAACATTGAATTTTAGTACTAAGCAAGGTTGACGTCATGATAACGTGAAACACTTATGGCACCACACTGTATATACTTGAATCATTTGCATAATACAGTTAAACTTCGTTATCTCGACATCGACGGGACAGTCGGAAAATGTCGAGATATCCGAGGTGTCAAGATATCAGAGTTGAGACTCGACGTCCTTAATTTTACTGCATTGTAAAACCAAAGACCTAAACTGAACAGACGTGTACCTACAGGTACCTATATGTCTTCAATTTAGACTGTAAGTCGTTTGTTTCAGCTATCCCTCTACATTTATTAGAAAATCTAAAGAAGTTATTCACAAATGTTATTCATGAAATGCTCTCTTTTTTATCAAAATCTTCTCATTTCACTAGAAACCGTTTTCAATCCAGCATTCGATCCGCGTGCCATAAATAGCAGCCATTAGGTCAGAACAGGATTCGAAATGCGCTTTGTAAACTCCGAACCGGAACGGTGCAAAGTCGACTTCCGAGATACGGAAAAAAAATTAATGCGCATATTTTTAAAAAAATTTCATTTCACATCTTTTTTTTTTTTATTTCATAATCATTCATCATGAACTTTCAATTCATTTTCAAACCAAAATTTAAATGGAATTGGGCATTTAACAAACGTTACCTATGCATCCACATTACGGCTGATGCAATAGTCGTGCATGTCGTAAGTTTGATTGATTTATGTTGAATGCATTTTTACCACAATTTTTAAGTTAAATTGAATCCAATGTGTATATTATTTATTGTCATTCAGTTAGCTTTTTTTAAATAAAATGTTTAAGTTTTGTTAGATTTCGACACAAATAAACGGTTGTACATTTACGCAGAATTGAGAAGATTTACCAATGATAATTACCCAAGCTGAACATTAAACAATTAACGTATTAGAGACTCCGAGGGGGCTTGGGATTCCTCTACAAATACATTTTTACAGAGCAGTATGTAGTGGGTGGGAAAGGTGTGAATTTCTGACGACGTCGAGATAAACGAGGTGACAAACTGACCAGCTGACAAACAATTAGGTTAAGTAGAGCAGAAAATTGCACTGATGTCGACATATACCAGGTAAATTTTGCTCTTGGGGCTGTGAAATACGTCGAGATAAGCGGGGTAGTCGACATTACCGAGGTCGACATATCAGAGTTTTTGCAAATCATTTATATAGTAAATAATGCCGGGACCGCAGACCGACGTCGACATATCCCAGGTTGTCGACATATCCGATGTCGAGATACCGAAGTTTACCTGTATCCAGAAGCAAAGGAAAAGATTTTCAAAGAATTAATGTATTTTTACTATAAAATCAAAAGATTCCCCCCCCTACACCAAATGGCAAAACCCCTGACCCCAGGGCCATAAAATTCACAATTTTGGAAAAGGCACGCTTGCTTATCATAACTAAGTACTTAGTTAGTTTATTTAATACCAAGGAGCAGAGGAAAAAATCAAAGAATCCATATATTTTCACTATATAATCAATAGAGCCCTGCCCTAACACCAGAACCCCTGACCGTGGGGCCATAAAATTCGCAATTCTGTAAGAAGCACTCTTGCTCATCATAACTAAGTACATTTACTTTATTTAATACCCAGGAGCAGAAAAGAAGATTTTCAAAGAATTAATGCATTTTCACTACATAATCAATAGAGCCCCGCCCTAACACCAGAACACCTAACCCAGGGGCCATGAATTTCACAATTTAGGAAGAGGTCTCAATGCTCATTACAATCATGCCAACAGTTTGACTGCTTGATGTCCAAGAGTAAAGAAGAAGATTTTTTAAGATTTCATTAATTTTAGTGGTTTTGGCCCCATCCCTCAGGCCCCAGGGGGGCGGGGACCTTGAAATTCAAAATTTTTGTTCCCCTCCACCCATAGATGCTTTGTGCCAAATTTGGTTGAAATTGGTTCAGTGTTTTCAGAGAAGAAGCTGAAAATGTTCAAATGTTAACACACGACGCACGACAGACGACGACGGATGAAAGCGGATAGCAATAGACCTAAAAAATCATATTCCTCATGCTGAATTAAAAGAATGATATTGTTACAGCCGTGACCTTTGACCTCACTAAAACTGACCTTGATGACATTTTTGTTTTTCTCCATCAAGTCCCGAGCTACATCAATCATCTGCTGCAGGCTCATGTGGGTCTTTGTCTAAAATCAATGATAAAGAAAGTGGTTATTAAAAATAATCAACAAATAGAACTACTGAAAAACAACAAAACATTAACTTTTTCAAGTTTTGCACTGATCAAAAAGGCTACAAAAATATTTGTTATAAAAAATTACTCATGTAGTTAGTTAAAAGGTATTATTGTTGCAGCTCAGTGCTTGGTACAAAAGAACTTGATTTAATGACAAAATCAGAGAGATTGTGCTCCTTTTTCAAGATCATATATCAAAGCCATGGTGAAACGAGTGGAAGCAGCTCATTATGATTTTCAGTAAGTAAAATTTAATCCTAAAACACAATCAGGATGAGTAGGTGCAAAATGGAATTCTGTCCCCAACACTTTAGTCACTTAAAAAATCAAAGTTTTAGATACAAACCACATGGCAAATTTTTGTCCAGGCAGCTCTGCAAACATCAGGAGAATGATTTTCGACCTTGACCTCCTCCCACACTGACTCTGGCAGTCTGTTGTGTTGTGGGGAGGGCTGCTTAATGGATGACTCCAACGAGTCTAAGAGAGATCTAAACTCATCCATAGTCCAATCTACACAAAAAATAAACAACTATATTACACAAATGTCAAAATCAAGCTTTATCAATATTACACAAATGTCACAATCAAGCTTTATCAATATTACACAAATGTCAAAATCAAGCTTATTACACAAATGTCAAAATCAAGCATTATTGATTATCCAAACTTTAATTATCAGTTTTACAAATTCTGATAATAACACTTTAATTTTTGGTAAACTTTCTGAAACCAATAAATTACTCTCCCCTTAATAAGGCATGCCACTTCACTTGGGCTGTATATTGAGCAAAAAAATTTCGATACAATACAATATTCTTTAAAGCGATATGCAATATATTTGATTCTTAAACAAGTTCATTAAAAAAGTCATTTAATGCATGAATTTATAAAGACAAAGTGTTTTATAATCCATTTCAAAGTTCTTGCCTCAATGCTATTACAAATAACCCTTCAAATTAAAACATTTAATGACTGAAAAATCAGCATGTTAAAATAAAATCATCTAGTACGAGGGCCGTTCAAAAATTACGCGGACTTGTTGCACAGAAGAAATATTTGAGGACATAATAGGGCAAAATTTCACAAATAATATAAAAGGATCTTTACTTATATGGTCTTCAAAATTTCATATCAAAATTTTGTAAATTGGTATTAATTTTGAGTGATTTTTAAGGATATACCATTAAGTCACGGCGCAGCAAAATCTTCGACGTCACAAGCATTATAAAAAAATGTGATTGAGCTTTCATTTTCTCAACATTTTCCCTTGAGTACCTGTATAGTTTGAGTTACCTTATCTACTCAACATCAAAACACCATTATTTGTCAAGCTTTAACATCTATCAAACAAGTAAAGAATATTCTATTTTTTTTGTTTTAAAACCAAAAACTACTTATGAGATATAGTGTGATATTGGTGACTCTCAATCACGTTCTTTACAGTCCGGATAAAGTTAACTTTTCGTCTATAATCTTCTTCCCGTCCTCCTGTATAGCCTTTTTACAGAGGTCTAACTGTCTAAAATTTCAATTTGCTATCTGTGGGTGAATGTCACGAGTAGCCTAGTTTACGACATGTTTTATTATGCATATTTTGGATCTATGTTGCCGATATCTCGAGCATTACACATATTTTAACAAAAGTGTGGTGCGCCGTCAATTCAGGAGACGTCATTTTCACAGTCGTTTTCACGGGAATCGCATCAGAGAAAAATCACTATACTTCTGTTAGTACTTCAAATGTTACGTCCGAAATCTAAATACAGAATAATAGAACAATTTAAAGGTACATTTGAGAAAATTGTTGAAAAATATCGCGAATTTTAGAAAATCAATGAGTTTAATTTTTGAATCCGCATGCTTTTGCTTCAATTTTTTTGTCGTGCGCCGTACCTCTCCATCAACGATATCAACATACCGATAATTTTAGAATTTTTTTAAAATACAGAAATTTTGCCCAAAATTTATTGGGATCTTTAAGATACATATTTCTGTGAAATTTTATAACTATATGACGTCTGTAAGAGTAAAAAATAGCACAGTCCGCGTAATTTTTGAACGGCCCTCGTATGTATTTTGTAATAATCATATAGGTTCTGCTATGTCCATAATGATTATTTTTATTGGTCAGTTTTAAATTTAAAAAGTTAAATATAATGTGTAGTGATTAAAATTCCCATCTTTTTTCACAGAATTAGAAGAAAAATGACTGCGTGATACGTATTGGAAGTTATTTTTCGATACGGTATGATTCTTGAATATCGATGCGTATCTATATATATTTACATTTCCAATGTCTTTGTCTGAGATAAAATTATTTCCCCATCAATGTTTTGGCGCGGTTAAAAAATCAAAGTACTCAGAAGTACAGAGAGCCGGGCTCATTTACAGAGTAGAATGGATTTCTTACATGAATCTCGTTTATATTCTGATGAAAAAATTATTTTAAAACTATCAATATAAATGATAAGACACTGACAGTGAGTTTTTCAATCCTAATACCACGGTCCGATTTTGTCAGAATCAGAATTAATCTGGTACCGCAGCTAAATGTAGGCCAGTCTGGTTCCCTCTCCTGCTTTACCTCGTATGTGCAGAGAACTACGATAACACTGATGATAAAAAATCCTTAAGCTAATGAACTATGTTCTTTGACTTATGAAGTTTTCAAAGTCATTACTAATGTTTATTTTATATAGATAAAACTTCGTTTTATTTTTGTTGCTTTATTTAGCGTTTGTATTATCTCAAAAGCGGTTGAGAGTAAGAACTATATTTCTGCACGTAACTTTAAAATGGCGACTATGGGGTCAACATCCTGCCTTGAACAGGATCACATAAGCTGGCAATTGCTCTTTGAGCAATAAGCCCGGCTAAAAATCACGTGCAGGGCTGAACAAATAGCTAGACAGAAGCCAGGCTTGGAGCATGTGGATTGGCGGAATCAAAGCATGTAAATATAAGGAATAACTGTCAGATTTTTTAATTTCATGACGATGATCAATCGATTGGCTTGTGTGAAAATTTAAGCATAAATGCCAGATTTTCATGCAAGCCAATCGATTGATCACATCATGAAATCGAAAAATAAGACAGTTATTCCATAACCCTTTTAACACTGTAGACCGATACATCGGTCTGATAAAATTTTGTCTTGGAACACGGTAGACCGATACATCGGTCTCAGACACTAAACTGAAAGCAAAACATTTATTCTTAGAAATAGAAAGTGTTCTCTGCGCAAAATCTTTCGCTATGAATTATGGGTAGAATGATGTAAACATCCGTTAACAAATATGGTGGACCACATGGCGAAAACCACGAAAAAATAAGGAAAATTAGATGATTAGTAAAGAAAACGAAGAAGAAAGCAAAATGGCGGTAAACAACGAAATGTCCGATCCTTCTGGCGATGAAAGATTTAATAAAATCAGGGAATTAGACATTATAGATGTTTCTAAACAACAAAAATATGAGTTATTAGCAATGTTGTGAAATCTTGTCGGAGAAAGTTGACTCGGAATCGGAATATCAAGGCTCCTAAACAGAGGATGTTTTCCACGTCCCAGACTTCTTCCGATGTCCTGAAACACACTGTTTTATTTATTAATAATTATGGACTTACTTTTCAATAAATTCTGACATATCGCATATCATTTTACTTGCAAATAATTTCTCTTTTGAACGATGGTAAGAACATAATAGATTTTGAAACTTCATAGCAGCAAATTTATTAAATATTGCATAAGATCCGTTATAAAATGTAATTATGAATTTTATTAGTGTTTTTGACATGATAAATAATTTTGTATATATCTAAAATTTATATCATTTAAAAGAGAAATGCCTCACCTTTCTAATGATGTGTCATTTATTAAAATATTCAAAAAAATAAAGAAGTTATAGTATTTTTTGTGATGGAAGGTGAAATGTTTAGTCAGGCCCCAAGTTACTCAGTGTACCAGGGGTTGGTTGATAGAAGTTACTCAGTGTTGAAAGAGTTAAATTAATACTGCCCTAGTCTCCACTCATTTTTACCTGTTAAATGTTTTCCGGCATTTTTGTCTTCTTTTTCCTCCTCTGTAAACACAAATGAAAACAAATTAGCTTTAACTTAATTTATTATGCTATATCTGAACTGTGGGGAAAAGACATTCTATAAATAGTGTCATTTGATATTCACAGGTAACATGTCTAGGTACAGACTTAATAACTCCTGGGGCTTCATCTCACTACCCAGATCAATGATTGTTAAGACTTGAAAGCGTTTCAATATATACTTTTATATACTGTATAAGTACTGTTTTCCGCGTGGTATTAATTTACGCTATGAACGCGCTCATCATTTTTCTGCGGAAATTTGTCCAAGCGTACTTAATATAATTGTAAGGCAAATATAGTGACAATCTAGAAAATCCGCGTAATTTTCTACCGGCGGATTAAACAGAAATTGAGATTCCATGGAATTATGACCCCGTGGAAAAAAGTACGTCTACAGTATTTTTAAAAAAACATTGCTAGGTAACATTATTTTACGCACAAAGTGCTCATCTTGATTTTACTGAAAACAATGAAAAACAACTCAAACCATCATGAAGTTGTTGACAGTATTCGGTGTATTTAAAGGTCTCAGTTTTATATCCGAAGCACATTATACAGAAGAAAAGGTCAAAAACATAAAAAGGTCAAGACAAGGTCCTACTTACTGGATGTCACTCTGTCCTTGTCTTGTGATGAATCTGAAACAAGTCAATCAGGCATATTTACAGTAAACAATTGTATATCATGCTGTCTCAATCAGACATATTTACAGGTAAACAATTGTATATCATGCTGTCTCAATCAGGCATATTTACAGGTAAACAGTTGTATATCATGCTGTCTCAATCAGGCATATTTACAGGTAAACAATTGTATATCATGCTGTCTCAATCAGGCATGTTTACAGGTAAACAATTGTATATCATGCTGAGTCCTAAACAAGAAATCTGTGAGCCAATGCTCACTAGTAATACCCCCGCTCTGATGTAAAAAAGCTTTATCATGTTAATATACACAAGTTCAATTACAATCAGATGCAAGCTGACATCAGAATCATATCGAAACTAATCCCACCTTATGGCATGCCTCAAAAAGAGTGTAATAAAATTTCAAGCATCTGCTATGAATAGCTAATGAGAATAAAGTGCCGCGCCACAGCATGATACGCCCGTCAAAAAAAATACAATTTTCTTGAACAGTTTAGTGTGCAAGAAAATCACTTCAACCTTGATTCCAAGATTTCCATGATTTTTCCATTCCTTCAAATATTTATCCATTTCCTGTGATCTAGGCATTAATTATAATAAATATTACATCATTGACAGATTTCTATGCTGGTTGTGAATAGACCTTGTCAAATGCCCATCATATTAAACAATATCAAATTAGTCTTAACATCTTAATCTATACCAAATTAATTTTGAAAAGAAAAGGCCTGGCCATCAAATGACATATGCTATAAACTGACCAGCACTTCTTCTGTCTAATCCCCAAAGGATACAGATAAGACGCTTGATCAGCTAGCCTTCCTACACTGAACTCATTAATTAATCTTTAACTGGATGCTTGTCTACTTATTACTACCAAGAGATGAATGGGTCTGCACTATCTACCATAAATTTTTTTTAAACATATAAAATATTCAACAATTTTTTTTGGTTGAGATTTAATGTCCGACAGGTTTTAATATGTAATTCATTTGGACATGCTGATTCCACCCCACCCCTTAAAATTAGTTTTTTTATTAATAATATTATATAATATCAGATTAGTCTACTATGCAATATCAAATTTGTTTTAATTACTTTTCATCAAATTCATTTTAAAACTTAGGCTAGCCAACAAGAGCTATTTTCAATCCAACAGGCTTACCCATCTGCCCAATACTCAAGGGATATAGATAATACCAATGCTTTGTCAGTTAGCTCGTCGCACTCAAAACCCATTAATTTCTCTCTAATTTGACATGCAATTTTCTGTTATCAAAATTCTTCTTGACCAGTGCTTGATAATTACACTCAAGGGAGAGGTAGGATTTCTCTAACATACATTATATTTGTTATAGATTGCTGTCAAGTATATGCTTAAAAAAATAAGTATTTTCTTGATTTAACACTTTTTTAATAAGAAGAGAGCAATACTCTTACATTATTTTGGATGCTTAAATGAATAGTAAAAAGACACATTTTTTTTTTTTATTTCACTTAAATTAAAGGTCACAGTGACCTTGAAATCGGTCGCGACACACCTTCTACCTAAGATGCATAAACTGGCCAAGTTTCATAATTGTTAGTCTTTCTAGTTTTCTAGTTATGGGCTGGAAAGGATTTTTCCATATTTGGCTATAACTTCTTAATTAAAGGTCAGAGCGACCTACTTTTTGTGCGCGACACACCTTCTACCCAAGATGCATCAGATGACAAAGTTTGATAATCCTAGGCCTAATAGTATTAAAGTTATGAGCCAGAAAAGAAAAAGCTAACAGACAGATGGACAGACGGATGGACACGAAGCCTATAACATAATACGTCCCGTCTTAAGACGGGCGTATAAAAATGCGACGAAGATTTGTTATGTATGAAACGGACAGACGCACAGACAAACAGGAAGTTGACATCGGATTTGTACAAAAATGCATTCCATAAAATGGCATGCCTCAGAGAAGATTGTTTTAAAATATCAAGCATCTGTGATGAGTAGTTGCTGAGAAAACTGCTACGAAAATTTCTTATGTATGAAATGGACAGACGCACAGACAAACAAGAAGTTGACATCGGATTTGAGCAAAAATGTATCCCACCATGTGGCATGCCTCAGAGAAGATTGTGTTAAAATTTCAAGCATCTACAATGAGCAGTTGCTGAGAAAACTGTGACGAAAAATTTGTTTCGGACGGACACACAGACAGACAGAAAGACAGACACACAAAGGTAAAACAGTATACCCCCCTCTCCTTCGGAGCGGGGGTATAATTACTCAGACAGGAATTTATCATGTTTAATGGCATGAGACAAATCTTAACCTTAAAACTGGTAGAAGGAATACAGAAGTTTCAACTTGAATCGGTGGACATCGGTACCTGGCCTGGGGGCCATAAAACTTAGACAAGCTCACTTTTGATCTCAGTCTCACTTTTCCACTCTATATATTTCTTTGGTAAAAGTGAAACTAAGGTTAGAAGTGAGCTGGTCTAAGTTTTATGGCCCCCAGGCCTGCTCTCAGATTTCCCCCCTCCCCCAGTCAGGGGCATGAAGGAATCAAGTTATTTGTTACTGAGGCGGGAATTTATCATGTTTAATGGCATGAGACAAATCTTAACCTTAAAAACCAAAAACCAAAAAACATTAATATTTTGAGTTTGCTGCTGATTTAAGATTTAAGGTAAGAAAATTGTAAATATATGTACTTTTTAATAATAGACCCAACAAACTTAATATCTCAAGAGCAGATATGATGTTATGAGGACGGATGAAAACGGAGAGCAATAGGTCACCTGTGTAACTCAGGTGACCTAAAAATTGCATTCTTTGATTCAGTGGTGTAAGACGAGTTGCAGATTTCCTTATGAAGTTGCAGGTCAACAAAAGTTGGGAACATGGGATAATTTATGCATAATGTTGATGCCCTGGCATACTCCACTAACTAGACAGTGATTCTTTAATAACAAGCCCCCCTGCTCCTCTGACCCACATTATAAAATCCAACTACCTGAGGTGACCTCTGACCCCTAGTATAAATCTACCTACCTGAGGTGACCTCTGACCCTCAGTATAAAATCCAACAACCTGAAGTGACCTCTGACCCCCAGTATAAAATCCATCTTCCTGAGGAAACTTCTGACCCCTAGTATAAAATCCACCTACCTGAGGTGACCTCTGACCCCTAGTATAAATCAACCAACCTGAGGGAACCTCTGACCCCCAGTATAAAATCCACCTACCTGAAGTGACCTCTGACCCCCAGTATAAAATCAACCAACCTGAGGGAACCTCTGACCCCTAGTAAAAATTCACCTACCTGAAGTGACCTCTGACCCCCAGTAAGGGTGAAACGATTACACGTGTAAACGGCGACGTTTCGATTATATCCTCTAAACGTTTACAGTTTGAGTAAACGTTTACACGAAGGTCATTATCAATTAATGTCTATCAGAAATAAAGTTTAACACAAACAAATTGTTTTATTTCATAATTTACAAAAGAAACACCGTTGTTACAACGCACTTTGAAAAATTACGCACTTTGAAAAAATTTTTCAAAGTGCGTTAAAATTTGGGACCAAGCTAACGCACTTTGAAAAAAATATTTTTTTTTCAAAGTGCGTTAATATCGACCATATTAACGCAGTTTGAAAAAAATGTAAAGATTGATCAATATTTCTTCAAATAATCGGTATGATAAATAACAGATAACTTTTTAATGATAAAGTCACTGTAGGACCTGAGATATTGACGTTTTAAATATTTAAGGTTTTGATAAAATAAAAGGGAAAATCAAAGGGTCTTGGAAAAAAGAGTGACGATTGTTTAAGTTCATTAATTCGTTTCTTCTTCTTTTTTTTAATTCTATTCTTTGATAAGCAGATGTAAAGGTGTATAGGGGGCACTAACATAGGACAGCTTCAAGCAACTAGGCATATATCATAATAAAAAGGGGCCAATTTGATTGTTCAAAAATATGAAAATTCTTTCTCTCTCATACGTTTTACTGTACTTAAAATTTTCTAGTTTTCATCCGTTTTAATTTTCTCATTTATTATTGAAAGTTTTCAACGTCATACCAGTTAGGTAAATACATAATTATATGAATGCTTTGAGTATAGCACAGACATCGAGACTGGGCGAAGGCTAGGTCCAGGGGAGGGGATGGGGGGCTAAGCCCCCCCCCCACTTATTTTGGAAAGATATATGCATCGTATAAGCATTGAAAATGCAGTGTACCCTTTTTAGGTTCATTGCTCCCCTCCCCGTTTGTTACCGACACCTATGTATTGGAAAGATAAAGATTTGGACTGAGGGATCTTATACCCGTCTTGTCCTCTTTTCGACGGGAGTAAATCAATTTATGGGTGAGGCTTAGTTTTTTGAAAGATAAATAACAAATAAAATCTTTCCATGACTAAAAAATGATTTTTTTTTCAAAGTGCGTTAAGTGTCTCCATAGTAAAATATATTGATGTAGACTCTTAACGCACTTTGAAAAATTTTTTCAAAGTGCGTTAAGTTGGTCCAAAATTTAACGCACTTTGAAAAAATTTTGCAAAGTGCGTTGATTTTGTCCAAATTTTAACGCACTTTGAAAAAATTTTTCAAAGTGCGTAATTTTTTCAAAGTGCGTTGCCACACACCGTCTTAAGCAACAATCTAAACCGGAAACATATTGAATGAAAATATCTAAAACCCGATAGTGGCTAACATAATTAATTCCGATTTCCGAGTTGCTTATACTAGCGATGTTTTACGACACTTGAAATATAAAACTTGATATATTTTGATTAAATAAATATAATACATTTTTCACAAGTCTTTGAAAAGTTTCAATACAGTCAACAGGTCTTATTTTACTTTTTTCGAGATTAAAAGATCCATCTTAACAATTATTTTTCTACGTCCGGGAGCCAAACAAACCAAGCAGTTGGGTGACGAGGTCGAAAGTGAATGAGTTTAATGCGCCTCAAATTCTTACGGTTAAATCACAATGACCAACAATAAATTTGTAATAACAACTCATACTTATATTAAAGTGAAAGAATTGGTAATTAAATTCGAGTTTCATGAGTAAGTAGCCATAAAAATCAAACATAGAAAATCTCTCGTTTAAACGGTACCGTTTCGTTTACTGCTATCCGTTTAAACCTTTACAAAATTCAGTAAACGTTTCACCCTTAACCCCCAGTATAAAATCCACCTACCAGAGGTAACTTCTGACCTCCGGTATAAAATCCAACCCTGAGGTGACCTCTGACTCCTAGTATAAATTCACCTACCTGAGGTGACCTCTGACCCTCAGTATAAAATCCAACAACCTGAAGTGACCTCTGACCCCTATAATAAAATCCACCTACCTGAGGTGACCTCTGACCCCTATAATAAAATCCACCTACCTGAGGTGACCTCTGACCCCTATAATAAAATCCACCTACCTGAGGTGACCTCTGACCCCTAGTATAAAATCCACCTACCTGAGGTGACTTCTGTCTTCTTCTTAGGAGATCTTACAGGTTTCTGTACTTGAGGCGGTTTCTCATTATTGTCCCTCTTTTCTGTGAATAAATGTGGTATCAATATACAGTTTAAGTATACCATTGAGGGAGTCAGCAAGATTCCAGTTCCCGAGTAGCAAGTCTATTTCCTGAGGCACAGTCGAAGGAAATAGGCTTTCTCGAGGGGAACTGGAATCTTGCTGACTCCCTAAATGATATACTTTAACTGTTTTATTATACCATTTTATTACTTGTACGTTAACCGAGCTTCATTATGAATATTCAAGATGTTATTTGGAACATCTCTGTACTTTTCATATGATTAAAAGGAGTCAATGAGTGTTCTGAATAGGTGTGTATCAGTTCATCAAACTGACGCACCCTTTTGCAGGGAATCAGTCTTTTTACAGTGATTTTCAGGGAATCGGCAAAATATATCGATTTACTTTTATATAGTGAAAAATCAGTAGAGGTGTAATAAATTTATACAAGTTTACACAATCTTTTAAAATCATTTTATAATTTAAATCAGAATCTAACGAGTTCCTTGATCATGTTGATTGGATAGAAATTTAAGTTTATATCATACAATCAATGTTACCTAGATTATCATATGACTTGTACATAAAGCATATCATTAAAAATACATGTTTGATAGAGGTCTAATAAGAAGATTTTCTACATAACATATAATTGTGACAATTTATCAGTATAAACAACAGCTTCATTTCATCTGATGCCAGATTATTTGGACTATTTAATTCTTTCCTTCACATTATTACGACTCGTTTTTATGTATTCATTTATTTATTTTTTTTGTTTAAACATTTTCACACCTTTCTTCAGCTTCTTTTTCTTCTTCTTTAACTTTTTCTCTAAAAGTAGACACATACATGAATAGTGAAGCTATTTTCATAAATTTCATTAAATTCATCACGTTTATGTGAATTAAATGAAGATGTATGAACTAATATTGACCAATACTCACTTGGGTTTTTCACAGCATCTTGATTGTCTCCCCTCTCTTCATCAAAAAAGGAATTGATAATACGGTTACAGACAGGTTGTGACAGAACTCTTGGGCCATTTTTTTTTATTAGTTGTTTTTCAAGACTTTTTTTGAAAAAATAAGGTCGGTCGGTTGAAAAAAAAAAAAAAAAAAAAGACAGTTGAAAAGTAGTCGTACTAAACAGATTATGATAGAGTACTTTAGAGTACACTAGTATTAAATATTTCAAAAACTTCTACATGCAATTAAACTGCTTTTTATATGTCATTCTACTTTAGTTTAACATAATTACATATTTTAAACAAAAGATGTATGTTCTCCTTAGTTATTATTAGTAATTTTAATTTTTGATTTGATGTTGTGATTTATCGTTATGATCCTGATCTAATTTAACTTCGAATGGTTCACTGTTAATGTGAAAAAATATTTACATAATGCAATTAGTTTTATTTTTGATAAATAAAATTTAGTTGAAAGCAACTATCAATGGCAAAGTTTAATTCTCACTTGTAAAATTGAATCATATATAAATAGCAGTTTTGATAGAAATTCAAAATAAAAATAAATTTAAATCATCATCATGTTTTCTCAGTGGGCATTGCACTTCAAGACCTATATACTGCATGTGTTTACCTAGTTAGAATAATCTAACTGTGTCTCGGTACAAGCCCTCACCACAGTTAGAATACGTCCCATATACTTGCAATGTAGCAAATCGGAGCGGATCCGCTCCGAAACGATTTTGAAGAATATAAAATGATTTGCACTGGGAATAACTACCAAAATAATTAAAACAAACCTTTTTGAGATTGCTTATCAGTTATGCCTTTCATCCCAAAAAATAATCCATATAAATACGAAAATCCAATTCATTTTCTCAACGTTTTTCTCTCGATTCAAATTACCTCCATGTTAACATTCGGAACTCTCTAGATTGTTCCTAGTAAATGCACTATGCGAGTTATCGCCCGTGTTTCTTTTGCTACATTACGAATACACGGAACGAATTCTATCGTTAAACCGGGTCCGTAGGACAATATCATTTTAACGATAGAATTGCTCCATCTGCTTTCACATTTGGTGGGTCTTTTAAAAGCTAAATAACATTCTATCTAGTGTTTACCATTAACAGAGGAATGGAGGAAATTCGGAATAGAGAAAAAACGATCATTTGGAAGTAAACCAGTCAAGTAGAATTGCAAAATAGATAAGATTGTGGATATTTACGAAGAATAGAAGCATACTGTATTAAAAATTTTCATTTATTGAAGACATCACATTA